AGTGGGGGGAGTATATAAACTTTGTAAGTAATTAAAAATAACAGCAACAAATCCCCAGCCAGAGCTATACATAAATAGAGAACTGCCAGAAATTAGGAGCAGGATTTAGGAGAGGTCATGGCATCAGGTTCCAACTGCTTCAAACAACTTTGCTTGCTGAAAGTGTGGAGGACTTGAAGCACTTATTGCAGAAGACCAAAGAATACAACCTTCAATATGGATTGCTTCTCAATATCAAGAAAACAAAGATTCTGACAACTGGATTGATAGGCAATGTCACGACAGATGGAGAAAAAATTCAAACAGTCAACAACTTCATCTTACTTGTATCCACAGATATTACCCTTGGTACCAGCAGTCAAGAAATCAAGAGACGTATTGCACTATGAAAGTCTGCAGTCAGGGACCTCTACAAATTATTGAAGAGTAATGATGTTAATTTGAGGACTAAGGCACACTGGATCCGGCCATAGTCTTTCTAATCACTTGCTATGTATTGAGAGCTGGATGATGAATAAGGATGACAGAGGATTGATTGTCATTGAGCTATGATGTATCAGTACTGCACATCCCATGAACTTGAACTATCAAAAGAACAAGCAAATATGTCTTGGAGAAAGTTCAGTCTGAGAGCTCTTTGAAGGCAAAGATGATGAGACTTCACCTCACATGCTTTGGACATGTTGCTAGGAGGGGCTTCTCCTTGGAGAGGGACATGATGCTCAGAAAAGTAGAGGGTTGGTAAAGGAAGGGAAGACCCTCAACTAAGTAAATTCGTACAGTGATTGTCACAATGTCCAATGTCAGATAGTGTAAGGATGGCATAGGATAGGACCAAGTTCAAATCTGTTTTTCATAGGTTCATGAGTACTATTCAACTTGATGGCACCTAACAACATAACAGTGGCATCAGGGATATCATTGCTGATGTCAGTTGGATCCTGGCTGAAAGTAAAGAATACCAGAAGAATGTCTATTTGTGCTTTATTGCCTAGGCAAAGGCATTTGACTGCGTGGATAACAACAAATTATGGCTAATCTTGAGAAGAATGGGAATCAGAGTAATTAACTGTGCTTGTGTGAAACCTATACCTTACCAAGAAGCTATTGTATGAACTGAATACGGGAACACTACATGGTTTAACATTAAGAAAGTGTGTCAAGGTTCTGTACTGTCTCCATCCCTAATTAAGCTGTATGCTGAGAAAACTATTTGAGAAGCTGGGCTTTTTGGAAAAGGAAAGTGGCATCAGGATCAAAGGAAGACTTATCATAATGCCAATAACACAACCTTGCTTGCTGAAAGTGAGGAGGACTTGAGGCACTTGCTGCTGAAAATCAAGGAATTCAGCCTTCGGTATGGATTACATCTCAACAGAAAGAAGACAGAAATTCTTGCCACTGGGCTAAGAGGAAATGTCATGATAGATGGAGAAAGGATTGAGGTGGTCAACTATTTCCTCTTACTTGGATCCACAGTCAACACCCTTGGTACCAGCAGCCAGGGCATCAGGAGACATACTGCACTGGGAAAGTCTGTAATCAGGGACCCCTCCAAATTATTGAGGAACAATGGTGTCAACTTGAGGTCTAAGGTGCACTTGATTTAGGCCATTGTCTTTTCAATCACTTGCTGTGCATCTGAGAGCTGGACAATTAATAAGGTTGATAGAAAAAGAATTGGTGCTTTTGAACAGTGGTGTTGGAGAAGAGTGCTGAGTATCCCATGGACTATCAAAAGAATAAACAAATATGTGCTGGAGAAGTTCAGCCAGAGTCTTCCTTGGAGGCAAGGATACATTCTTTGAGCCTGTTGCTAGTATAGGCTAGTCCACGGAGAAAGACATGGGAATATGGAGGGGCAGAGAATGAGAGATTGACTCTTAACATGATAGATTCACACAGTGACTGCTGCAATGGGCTCTAATGTCTCAGAAATTGTGAGGCTGGCGCAGGATAGGACAGGTTTCAGATGTCTTGTTTATGGCATTACTATGGGTCATACTTGAGTCGAAGGCACCTTAACAACAAGAAGTAACTAATGGTGCCGATAACCTTTCTATGCATCTGTCGGTCATTTTTAAAATCTTCTATACAGAAATGTCTATTCAAGTCCTTCACCTAATTTTTAATTGGTTTATCATTTTAGTATTGAATTGTAAGAACTCTTTTTATATTCTAGACACAGGTCCTTATTGAGTGTGTGATTCTCTGAATGACATTTCACTTTCTTAAAAGAATCATTTGCAGGGTGAAAATTTTTAATATTGATGAAGACTCATTTTTCTTCTATGTAATTTTCACATTTTTAAGTTTATTAATGAAAGTTTACAGAGACTTGGGATTTCCAGTCATTCATTGTTGTACTTTTGTAATTTTCACTCTTACTGTCATGTTATTTGTTATTGTTAGGTGCCGTTGTGTCAAGCATGACTCATAAAGACCCCATGAACAAAAAATTTGCATCTTGTTCTGTCCTGCGCCACTCTCACTCTTCCTGACACACAAAAGCCCATTGCAGCTTCAACCGCCTGGTTGAAGGTCCTCCTCTCCTTCATCGACCCTCCACCTTTCCCAGCATCATGTCCTTCTCCAAGGAATAGCACCTTCTAGCCACATGCCCAAAGTATGTGAGGTGAAGCCTCATTATTCTTGAATCCAAATAGCACTCTGGATGCACCCTCTCTGAGACATATCTCTTTAGATTTTGTTTGTTTGTGTTTTTCATGTTAAGGGGTTTTTTTTATGGTACAAATTTTATATACGTTGTGTTGCTATTCAGAAATTTCAAAGGCTTGAATTTTAAAAACAGTACTTATTTTTAGTCATTTTTCCCTCACAAGAAAGTTTCTTTCTTATCCCATACAATTGATAATTTTCAGGACTTGATATTGTTAGATGCCATCATGTGGACCGTGGGATGTTCATTGCTCTTCTCCAACACTACAGCTCAAAGGCGTCAATTCTTTTCCTATCATCCTTATTCATTTGCTGTCATGTATTGTTGTTATGTGCCATCAAGTCGCCTTCACCTCATAGCTACCCTATACACAACAGCTCTAAACCCTGCTCCATCCCTTGCAAATCTTATTGTCTCTGACACACCTACCCCAATCACCCCAGTCACTCAATCAATTCATCTCATTGAGAGTCTTCCTCTCCTGTTCTGTCCCTCCACCCTCCCAAGCATGATGTCCCTCTCCAAGGACTGGTCCCTCCTTGCGTCATGTCCAAAGTAGGTTAGATGAAGCTTCAGAATCCTTGCTCCCAAGGAGCAGCCCGGCTTCACCCTCTCCAGGACGAACTTGTTTATTCTCCTAGCAGTCCATGGTATATTCAATACTCTTCTCCAGCACCACAGCTTCCATATAGATTGCCAAATGCAAGGTCATTAGGGGAGCTCTTGTGGTCTAATGGTAAGAAACTGTACGGTAATCCCAGAGGCATGTGGTTTGAATCCACCAGCTGTTCTGTGGAAGGATAGGCAGTCTCCTCCTGTGTGATTTACTGCTTTTGAAAACCCAGTGGAGGGTCATCTATGAGTTGGTTCCAATTCAGTGGAACACAGAAAAATGGGGATAAAGTCATTGAGACTTATGCCTATTTAATCTATGGATTTTGTCATTTCAGCTCTTATATTTAGATCTATGATCCATTTTCTTCATTATTGCACATGTAGCTTCCAGCTGTATGAACATCATTTGTTGATAAAGCTATCCTTTTTCTCATTATCATTGTTTTTATATCCTTATGAAAAACCAATTGACCATAAACACAAACATTTCTGTATTCATAATTGTATTTCACTGTACTTTATGTCTTCCCTTGTACCAGTACCAGGCTATTTTAGTACAGTTTTGATTGCTATGATTTTGTAGCAGGTTCTGAGCACTGTAGTTTTGTATCATGTTTTTAAATAAAAAAGTCCTCCAACTTTGTTTTAACTTTTCAAGATTATTTTAGCACATCTAGGTCCCTTTCACACTCACAAGGCTTTAACCTTGTCAAGTTTTGAAAACAGGCCTCCTGGGATTTTACTGGGGATCGCATTAAATCTGTTGACAGTGGGAGGAATACTGTCATATAAGCAGCATTTAACTCTTCCCACCTAAACATGGGGTGTATTTCCATACTCTCCTAATGATTTCATGAAGAAGCCCAAAATCTTCTACTAACATCATAAGTCTTCTTCCAATCTGAGTCCATGCAATGAGCTCATCAATACATGTTCCTAACTTTAGTTAAGCCAGTTTTCCTGTGTTCTCAAGCAGAGCAGGCCCTCATTAAGGCTGAACTCAAAAGCAAAATTAATGGTATGTGCCTTTATATCCCAAGGACAACACTCAGTGTTTGAGAAGGTATTCTCCCAGCAAACATTGAGTGGATTGATTAAGGCTGAGCTAAAATGATTTTTGTTGTTAACTTCTTTTTAAATTCTATATTAGTTTGCATACAAAATTATTTTTTTTGCTCAGTTATCTTTCTGTTTTTCCAATAATGGTCTTATGTTGCATTTGTTCTTATGATACTGAGCTATTTCACTCAGCATGATACTCTTGACTCTCCCATGCTATGTAGTATTTGGTGAAATCATTGTTCCTTAGTGCTGCATAGTATTTCATTGTGTGACTAATAACACAGTTTCTCCATCCTTTCCTTTGCTGATGGGCATTGGGGCTATTTCCATTTCATACAAAATTCTTATACTTCGTGTCATTCTGTTAAAATGATATTTTCAAAGCTTGCTTAGTGCCAACTGCTTCTTTGAAATCATCTCCAAACCATTGCCTGGCCCACAGTTCACCAGCTTTCTCTACACATTACATGCTACTTTTTTGGTATCTAATTAAGTATCTAATTGTTTCCTCCCAAGAGAACTAAATAGCAAATAATCCAAGCATAGTAAATGCTCACCCATTACTCGCTGCATTGAACTCTAACTTGAGTTGACACACACTTCATCCACGTGGTCTAACATTAGATTGTCCTTGCCTTCCCAGGGGATGTTCTGGTATTCCTGGATAGCCACTGTGAGGTGAACAGAATGTGGCTGGAACCATTGCTCCTTGCTATCTCCAAAAATTCAAAAATGGTGGTCTGTCCTTTGATAGATGTTATTGATGATTTAACTCTGCAATACAAACCTTCTCCTCTTGTAAGAGGAATTTTCAACTGGGATCTACAATTTAAATGGGATAACGTTTACTCCTATGAGATGGAAGGGCCAGAAGGACTCACTGGACCCATCAGGTGAGATTGCAGGTGTAGGGAGGGCCAAGCATTGGGACCTGACTTTGTTGATTGTTTTTAGTTTTTTGATGACGTTTTTGTTTTATTTTGTGTGGTGGTGTTGTTGTTTTATAGAACCATGGTTTCTTTGCTTCTTTTCTTTAATATTATTATTATTATTTCGGTTGTGTGCCATCAAATCCATTACGACTGGCACAGGAGGAGATTGTCCCTCCTTCTTCAGCGGAGTGTCTGGTGGATTTGAACCATGCACCTTTAGCACTGCAGTGCAGCTTCTTGTCACTAGGCCACCAGACCCCCCTTTAATGGAGTTTTAAAGATAGTTCCTTTGATTTCTTGAGTTTAATAATTACAAATATTTTGTTTTTAAATGCTTGAGTAACAGCATCTGGTAGATAATAACGTTCTGTCTGAGCAGCTGGCATTAGCCCATGGCAGAGTATTGCCATCATGTCCCTCTTCAGAGTGTGGTCTTTGTTCTTGGAAACCATTGAGTCTGTAAATCATTGAACAAAATATCAGCATTCAGAAAATCCCAGGAAAAGTAACCTCTGTGCTGAGGCCACCCATAAAAATATTTACCCAAATGCTTATCATGTGCATTTTCATAGAGACTTAATCTTAAAAAGCTTATTTCTACATAAAGGAGCAGTTGAATTTGCATTTAATTCTATGTTCTTTGCTCAAAGTTTGAATCCTGGATGTTAACGCTGTTTGTGAAGCTTCTTAAATAAAGATCCCTTCCCACATCCATTAACTTGGACACCAGGCTCACAATCTTCCCTCTTCTCTTCCTTTTAACTTTCATGCTTGGAAAGACATGTGAGTAGGTGTTTCAACACGATAGCAAAGGAGTCCCCGGGACAAATGATTAAGAGCTCAATGATTTGCTTAAAAGTTGGCAGTTTTTACCCACCCGAAGACTCCTCAAGTATAGTTCTGGAGATCTGTTTCCAAAAGGTCACAGCCGTTAAGGCCCCACGGAGCAGTGCTGCTCTGACACACACTGGGCCACCACTGGTCAGAACCAACTTGAGGACAGCTGACAACAGGGGCAAGACTTTGACTATTCCTCATCTTCACTTCTAACTGAGCTACATCACCTCACACAAGTTGCTTAACCTCTCTGTACCTTAGTTTCCTTCTCGGTAAAATCTGAATACTACTACTATATGTATCTCAGAGTTGTGAGAATTAACAGATACAAAACATCTCATATTTTTTCAAAGAGAAAAGTTAACTGGGGAAGGGGTGGTCAGGGACGAAAATATGCAACAATGAATGAATGCAAATCCATGTTCTCTATAAACTTTAATTAAAATATCAATAAAATTTTTTTATATCCACCCAAAACAACACACAAACCAAACAAACCGCAAAAAAAATTTCTTAACCCCTGGACTAATAAGAAACATCATGGCAGTAGGAGAAAAGATTGAATTTGTTAATGAATTCCTTTTACTTAGATCTAAAATCAATACTCATGGTGGCAGTTGAGAAATCAAAAGACATATTGCATTGGAAAAATCCAGACCTTTGCAGAGGACCTCTCCAAAGTGTTAATCTGTATGGATATTATGCAGTTTAAGGACTAAAATGCCTCTAATCCAAGCCATGGTTTTTGGCTTGTTTCTTATGCCAGCTATGGGTTGCTTCTGATTTGAAAGTTCACAACAGTAACAACAGCAACCTGTGCTTCTTAAATTTGGACAATGAATAAGGATGATCAAGGAAGAATTGGTGCCTTTGAACTGTGGTGTTGGAGAAGAGAATTTATTTCCAGTCTTTATAGTCAATAGTAAATTGTATTTTTTCCATATTTTCTAGTTTATTTAAGTAACTCTGAATTTAGTTTTCAAGTTTCTTAAAGTTTTTAGATATTTATTTTTAACTTATATGCAAAATCTTAAGGAATTTTTAGTCATTTTTGTGTAGTAATGTACCAATTATTTAGAAATTCATATTCTTTAAATGTTAATCCTCCAAACCAAATGTCAAGGGAAAACTCTCCAATCCTGTAAAGTTACTGTAAGGTTTTTTGGTTGGATTTTTTTTAAATTTTACTAAATTTAGTGCATCAAACTAGGACACGTGTATTTTGCTAGAATATATCAGGCAGCCAATTAAGATACAAATACAGATTTGTGATTAATAGAAGAATGAATATTTGCATAAAAACAACCATCATACTGTGTGATCGAGTTGTAGTGGATAGAGTATACAGGAATTGGACGATCACAAAAGAATGAACAGTTATTAGATTTTAGACTGAGGATGTGAACAGATATTTGTCAAATGGCGATGTACAAAGAAATTATTCTTGTAGAGGGAGTGCTGCTGTTATTAGGTGTCATAAATTTGAATACATCCATGGCAATGCTTTGAACAACAGATCTGAAGCCTGTCTTATCCTGTGTTCTTTTCACCACCTCTGACATGCTTGAGCACATTGCTACGGTCATTTTGTCAATTCATTCTCTTTTGCTGACCTTCCACCTTTCTAAGCATGATTTCTTTCTTTTTTTTTTTTTAATTTTGTGTGCGTGTACCATCAAATCAGATCTGACCGGTACAGGAGGATATTGCTCCTCCTTCTCCGGCAGAGCATCTGGTGGATTCGAACCATGTACCTTTGGGATTACAGTGCAGCTTCTTGCCACTAGGCCACCAGAGCTCCCCTTAAGCATGATTTCTTAGGAATAGCTTCTCATAGCAACATGTCCAAAGTATGTGAGACAAAGCTTTATCAACTTTGTCTCCAAGGAACACACTAGCTGCCCTTTTCCAAGACATACCTATTTGTTCATTTGATAGTTGGTGGAATACTCTTCTCTAGCACCACAACTCAGAGGAATCAGTTATTCTTCTGTCAGAGAGTTGGACGGTGAATAGGGGTGATAGAAAGAGAACTGATGCCTTTGAGCTGTGGTGCTGGAGAAGAGTGTTGAATATACCATGGACTGCTAGGAGAACAAACAGGTTTGTCCTGCAGAGGGTGGAGATTGAATGCTCCTTGGAGTCAAGGACTCTGAAGCTTCATCTGACATACTTTGGGCATGTTGCAAGGAGGGACTGGTCCTTGGAGAGGGTCATCATGTTTGGTAGAGTGGAGGGGCGGTGAAGGAGAGGAAGACCTTCGATGAGATGGATCGATTCTGTGAGTGGAGTGGTGGGAATGAGTGTGTCTGGGACGGTGAGGTTGGCATAGGATAGAATGGCGTTTAGGGCTCTTGTACATATAGGGTCACTATGAGTTGCAAGTGACTCGATGGCACATAACAACAACAACAACAACATCCTAATTCATAAAGGGATTGTATTTTTAGAAGGAGTGGCATGTGTGAATTGCTAAATGCATAAAAGAGCATGAAATTTAAAAAAAATGGTAGTGTCATAGTCCAAAGGAAGTTGTCCTGCTCCCAAAGACTGAGCCTCTCTAGTGGCTCAAATCTTTCAGGGACTCTGGGGTTAATGACGGGTAGTCTCCTCCTATGCCACTTACAAAATCAGAAACCTGCTGGAGGGTCAGCAATGACTGAAGGTGTGAGGCTCAGTACACGACTTCCATGTGGTTGTTTTGGAGCATCTCACATGTCACTGTGCACTCTACTGGAAGCTAGTTTCTGCAGTTTCCAGACTAAGATGGATCTGGAAATGAGTTGATTGAAAACCTCATGAATTTAACGGAATGTTACCATTGAAACCATTGAAAGATGAACTGCTAGGTAGGAAGAAATTGAACGTATTTGGTGACTACAACAGTAGACTCAAGGACTGGCAACATTTCATCATCCTACAGGTGAGTTTACTGTAACTGATCAATGACAAGTAAGTATAACAACAGCTTTACAAGTGACAGCGTCTGATTTGACCAACCAATATAGGATAAGAGAAGATATTGTGCTAGCTGACTCTGAGAATGTTGCTAAAGGCTATCAAAAACTTTTAGCAGTTGAGTAACACTACCATGTTTGTATTTTAAAATAAATGCATCTTGTAGTTGGTAGATGAATTATAGGAAGATGAGATGAATTAGGGAAAACTCCCTAGAATGTTGCACTAGTCTAAGAGGAATATATTGGAGGGGACAAACAAGTCAAAATGAATAGGAGAGAGAAATACTTGAAGGGTATTTAGGCAGAGATTGTGGGGAAGTTAGTAAATTTTGGGAGTGAAGATGAGAAGTTAAGTTTAGGATGATGAGGAAGAGGAAGAAGGGTCTAGGATAGTTTTCTTGTGTGAAATTCTTAAGGCTTAAATTAATAAACTTATATTGTTAAACATTTTATAATAAATAGCTCAAGAAAAAATATTTTCTTAACCCTATAATAAATTAAAAACAGCTCTGAAATAGGAAGCAACCATCAGAGATAAATATTTAATCTCTACTTTTTTGTGTGTGTATACAGAAATGATGTTAGTTATAGAACAGAGTTCAGGTCATTTGTGCAAAGGTTACTCTCAGTTGTATTCGACCTGACGACACTTAACCATTGCTGAAATGAGGCTAGTGCTGTTATATCTGGAGAAACACTCTTCCACGTTGTACATCGTTCTTTATCAACGTGCAGAATGAAGTAACCTGGGTTTGCTGTGATGCTGAACCTTGGGAGTATCAAATATCATAATGGTCTCCTAGTGTGGACAGTGTTTGGTGGAGCTCCCAGATGTAAAACAGGTTTGGAAGCAGAAGTGGCATCCACTTGTTAAACCACCTGCCTCTGAAAACTCTATGAACTTGGAAAAATGACAATAGTTATGGAAAGGCATTAGGTCTTTTGTTCATAGAGTCACTATGAGTCATGCTTGATTCGACAGCAATCAACAACAACATATCTATAGTATTAAGGTAATAATAATTATTAAGATAGATAATAATATAGATTATATATCTATATTATATTGTAGCTGATATTAGATGGATCTTAGCTGAAAGCAGGGAATACCAGAAGAATGTCTATCTGTGTTTCATTGATTATGCAAAGGCATTTGACTGTGTG